GGGAGGGGAATACGGGACCCTCAGGGACCCCTAAATGGGTGGAAACTGGGACCCTCAATGACCACCAGGGACCCCCAGGGAGGGACCCCCAGGGAGGGGAATATGGGACTCCCAGGGACCCCCAAATGGGGGGAACCTGAGACCCTCAATGACCCCCAGAGAGAGACCCCCAGGGATGGACACCCAGGGACCCCCAATGACACCCAGGGAGGGATCCCCAGGGAGGGACTACCAGAGACCACCAGGAACCTCAAGGGACCCCCAATGAGGGGAATATGGGACCCCCAGGGACCCCTAAATGAGGAGAACCTGGGACCCCCAGGGAGGGACCCCCAGGGAGGGAAATATGGGACTCCCAAGGACCCCTAAATGGGGGGAAACTGGGACACCCAGGGACCCCCAGGGAGGGACCCCCAATGAGGGCAAGCTGAGACCCCAGGGACCCCTAAATAGGGGAAACTTGGGACCCCTCAATGACCCCCAGGGAGGGACCCCCCAGGGACCACCAGTGACCCCCAGTGAGGGACTCCCCCCCAGTTGCTCCCTGCCCCCCCTGGGGGGTCCCAGTGCCCCCCCAGTGCCCTCCAGTGCCCCCCGTGCCCCCCCTCACCGGCTGTGCCTCCATGTCCCGCACGGTCTCGTTGGCGTCGTAGAACCCAAAAAGGCTTTTTAAGGGAGGAGGACACACAAATCAGGGGGAGTCCCCAAAATCCACAGGATTGGGGGGTCAAACAGGACCCAAAACTCCACGGGATCCCCCGGGACCACTTGGGATAGGATTGGGATGGGATTGGGATGGGACGGGGGGGCTTAGACAGGATCCAGAACTCCAGGGGACCCCCTGGGATGGGATTGGGGGATCAAACAGGACCCAGAGTTCCATGGGACCCCCTGGAACCCCCTGGGATGGGATTGGGGTTGGATTGGGATGGGACTGGGGGGGATCAAACAGGATCCAGTGCTCCACGGGACCCCCTGGGATGAAATTGGGATGGGATTGGAGGGCTCAGACAGGACCCAGCGCTCCATGGGACCCCCTGGGACCCCCCGGGATGGGACTGGGATGGGACTGGGGGCCCTTGGGGTTTTTGGGGGTGTTTTTGGGGGTCCCACCTGGACTGCCAGGGGGTGATGACGCCGTCATCGGGGCCCCCGATGAGCACCAGGCGCTCGATGCGCAGCAGGTTCTGCTTCCAGTCTGGGGGGGGGAAGGGGGGGGTCGGGGGGGGTGGGGGGGGCGTCTCTGGGTGGGGGGTGGTCTCTGGGGGTCTGGGGTCTCACCGGAGGCGTTGGGGTGCAGCCGCTCGTCGTTGAGCAGCGCCAGGAAGTCGCTGTTGTTCAGGTACAGCTCCCGGTGGTGGGGGTCTGATTTTGGGGGGGGGGGGG